TCTTGCACTGACCAGACCATAATGGACACTTCATAAGACACCGGCTTCTTGCACTGACCAGACCATAATGGACACTTCATAAGACACCGGCTTCTTGCACTGACCAGACCATAATGGACACTTCATAAGACACCGGCTTCTTGCACTGACCAGACCATAATGGACACTTCATAAGACACCGGCTTCTTGCACTGACCAGACCGTAATGGACATCATAAGACACAGGCTTCTTGCACTGACCAGGACCATAATGGACACTCATAAGACACCGGCTTCTTGCATGACCAGACCATAATGGACACTTCATAAGACACCGGCTTCTTGCACTGACCAGACCATAATGGACACTTCATAAGACACCGGCTTCTTGCACTGACCAGACCATAATGGACACTTCATAAGACACCGGCTTCTTGCACTGACCAGACCATAATGGACACTTCATAAGACACCGGCTTCTTGCATGATCAGACCATAATGGACATTTCATAAGGACACCGGCTTCTTGCACTGACCAGACCATAATGGACATTTCATAAGACATCGGCTTCTTGCACTGACCAGACCATAATGGACACTTCATAGGACACCGGCTTCTTGCACTGACCAGACCATAATGGATATTTCATAAGACACCGGCTTCTTGCACTGACCAGACCATAATGGACATTTCATAAGACATCGGCTTCTTGCACTGACCAGACCATAATGGACACTTCATAGGACATCGGCTTCTTGCACTGACCAGACCATAATGGACACTTCATAAGACACCGGCTTCTTGCACTGACCAGACCATAATGGATATTTCATAAGACACCAGCTTCTTGCACTGACCAGACCATAATGGACACTTCATAGGACATCGGCTTCTTGCACTGACCAGACCATAATGGACACTTCATAAGACACCGGCTTCTTGCACTGACCAGACCATAATGGACACTTCATAAGACACCGGCTTCTTGCACTGATCAGACCATAATGGACACTTCATAAGACACCGGCTTCTTGCACTGATCAGACCATAATGGACACTTCATAAGACACCGGCTTCTTGCACTGACCAGACCATAATGGACATTTCATAAGACACCGGCTTCTTGCACTGACCAGACCATAATGGACATTTCATAAGACACCGGCTTCTTGCACTGATCAGACCATAATGGACACTTCATAGGACACCGGCTTCTTGCACTGACCAGACCATAATGGACATTTCATAAGACACCAGCTTCTTGCATGACCAGACCATAATGGACACTTCATAGGACACCGGCTTCTTGCACTGACCAGACCATAATGGACATTTCATAAGACACCAGCTTCTTGCACTGACCAGACCATAATGGACACTTCATAGGACACCGGCTTCTTGCACTGACCAGACCATAATGGACATTTCATAAGACACCAGCTTCTTGCACTGACCAGACCATAATGGACATTTCATAAGACACCAGCTTCTTGCACTGACCAGACCATAATGGACACTTCATAGGACACCGGCTTCTTGCACTGATCAGACCATAATGGACACTTCATAAGACACCGGCTTCTTGCACTGACCAGACCATAATGGACACTTCATAAGACACCGGCTTCTTGCACTGACCAGACCATAATGGACATTCATAAGACACCGGCTTCTTGCACTGACCAGACCATAATGGACACTTCATAAGACACCGGCTTCTTGCACTGATCAGACCATAATGGACACTTCATAAGACACCGGCTTCTTGCACTGATCAGACCATAATGGACACTTCATAAGACATCGGCTTCTTGCACTGACCAGACCATAATGGACACTTCATAAGACACCGGCTTCTTGCACTGACCAGATCATAATGGACACTTCATAAGACATCGGCTTCTTGCACTGATCAGACCATAATGGACACTTCATAAGACACCGGCTTCTTGCACTGATCAGACCATATTGGACACTTCATAAGACATCGGCTTCTTGCACTGATCAGACCATAATGGACACTTCATAAGACACCGGCTTCTTGCACTGACCAGACCATAATGGACACTTCATAAGACACCGGCTTCTTGCACTGATCAGACCATATTGGACACTTCATAAGACATCGGCTTCTTGCACTGATCAGACCATAATGGACACTTCATAAGACACCGGCTTCTTGCACTGATCAGACCATATTGGACACTTCATAAGACATCGGCTTCTTGCACTGATCAGACCATAATGGACACTTCATAAGACACCGGCTTCTTGCACTGACCAGACCATAATGGACACTTCATAAGACACCGGCTTCTTGCACTGACCAGACCATAATGGATGTGAGGGAAAAGTTCAATAGATAGGAGTAGCGAGGGAATATATAGTAACAATAGTTTCATTGCCGGCTACTTGTTAAGGTAGGGTAAGTCCAGCTCCCGCTATTCTCCCCCCCCCCTTTTTTTCCCCGTCCCCGAAAGTGATAGTTTGATTGCCGGCTGCTTGTTAAGGTAGGGTCAGTCTAGCTCCCGCTATCCCTTCCCCTCCCTCCCCCCCCCCCCCGAAAGGTGACGTGTGGAGCTCCTGTCAAACAGTAAATCACTCGACTCACAGCTCCCAACACTACTGTAAGTACACGCCTGATCATATTTTAGTGGACTTATTGGTTGAAAGCTTCACTTTTGACCAATAATTAACTTAGTCCTTTCAGTCTTTATCTATTAAATGTTTTAATAATCACCACATCTTTTAGGTATTGTACTTATCATGGAGAGTGATTTCTTAAGCAGTGGGTAATCTGTCTCTCTTTACAGCTTGGAATGACAGAGAGGGTCACCTGCCAACCAACGAGAAGAATAGAAGGAGATGGACTAACGTCCTGAGACGTCCCATGTTTAATCTACTTACCTGTTATGTAAGCCAACACAGGACGTAGCCCCTCATCATAGCAGTGGTAACGAACCTGTTTTCCTGTCATCTGAAGTAATTTTTCACGGGTACACTCTGTGAAGAACGAGCCGGTGGTGGTCACCAACACCTGCTACCCCCCCCCTCCCCCCCACATCAGCAACGGCTACGATTTCAACAACACACAGTGTCACCAACACCTGACACCCCATTACCACGATATACCTATATTAGCGTTGAGTTCAAATGTAATTTTTTTTCATTTCATTTTTCATTTTTCTTTCAATTAGGATACCCATTCATGTTTTATTGTTTTACATTTTCCGTTTCTAAATAATAAAGTGTTTATCATTGTCTGTTATTATTTCTTTTTCTATTCATTAATTTTCCTGAGGAGGAGCCAGCCTTGGTAATACTGACTGAAGTTGTTACAGGGCTGAATAAGCCTTCATAATGGACACTTTATAAGACAACAGCATCCTGCACTAACTTGACCACCATGGAATCCTTCATATGACAGTCTTCTTGCCACTGACCAGACCACCATGAGGAACTTTATATGACAAACTTCCTGCCACTGACCAGACCACCATGAGGAACTTTATATGACAAACTTCCTGCCACTGACCAGACCACCATGAGGAACTTTATATGACAGTCTTCCTGCCACTGACCAGACACCAGGAGGAACTTCATATGACAGTCTTCTTGCCACTGACCAGACCACCATGAGGAACTTTATATGACAAACTTCCTGCCACTGACCAGACCACCATGAGGAACTTTATATGACAGTCTTCCTGCCACATACCAGACCACCATGGAGAACTTCATAAGTCACAGTCTTTTTGCCACTGACCAGACCACAGTGAGGAAGTTTATATGACAGTCTTCCTGCCACTGACCAGATCACCATGGAGAACTTCATAAGACACAAGTTTCCTGCCACTGACCAGACCACCATGGAACACATCATAAGACAATGGTTTCCTGCCACTGACCAGACTACCATGAGGAACTTCATATGACAGTCTTCCTGCCACTGACCAGATTACCATGGAACACTCCATAAGGCACAGGTTTCCTGCCACTGACCAGACCACCATGAAACACTTCATAAGAGAGTCTTCCTGCCACTGACCAGACCACCAGGAGGAACTTCATATGACAGTCTTCCTGCCACTGACCAGGCCACCATGGAACACTTCATATGACAGTCTTCCTGCCACTAACCAGACCACCACGAGGAACTTCATATGACATTCTTCCTGCCACTGACCAGACCACCATGGAACACTTTACATGACAGTCTTCCTTCCACTGACCAGACAACCAGGAGAAACTTCATATGACAGTCTTCCTGCCACTGACCAGGCCACCATGGAACACTTCATATGACAGTCTTCCTGCCACTAACCAGACCACCATGAGGAACTTCATATGACAGTCTTCCTGCCACTGACTAGACCACCATGGAACACTATATGACAGTCTTCCTGCCACTGACCAGATCACCATGGAACACTTTATATGACAGTCTTCCTGCCACTGACCAGACCACCATGGAACACTTTATATGACAGTCTTCCTGCCACTGACCAGATCACCATGGAGCACTTTATATGACAGTCTTCCTGCCACTGACCAGACCACCATGGAGCACTTTATATGACAGTCTTCCTGCCACTGACCAGATCACCATGGAGAACTTCATAAGACTCAGTCTTCCTTCCACTTACGAGACCACCGACGGCCGCTTCACATGACAAGGAATTCCTTCCACTGACAAGACCACCATGAGGGGCTTTACTAGGTACAGGCATCGTGCCAGTAAAGAAACAACTTCCGACCTACACGTGAGAACAAGTAACTTCAGGTTTGTGAAGAAAGTTCACTCAAACTGAAATTTTGTTCAAGTCTGATTTTAAAAATATTGTGCTACATAAATAAGAAATTCCTTTATTTGGATTACAAATAGAATATTTCTGAAATTTAATGAATGCAGATACGAAACTTAATTCTTCAGGGTTATTCACAAAATAAAATAATAATAAAGTTTTTTGTAATAACAAAATTAACACCAGTACGCTACTGTAAACTGCTTGATACACACCTAAGAGATCCATTATTGCCATTATTCCCAGATTATATTCCTGATGGTTCTTGAGTGGACAGTTGAAGAAGCCATTGTAAGTACCACCGTCTCCTATCTCAAACTCCGTTGTGCCCTGAACATGAAACTATTTTCACAAAATTGTTATATATTAAAGCATTATTATTAACAGATTTTGTTATACCTCACCTTCGTTTAACAGATGAACTCAGAGATTAGATAATAACAGATGAGCTCAGAGTTTAGATAATAACAGATGAGCTCAGAGTTTAGATAATAACAGATGAGCTCAGAGTTTAGATAATAATAACAGATGAGCTCAGAGTTTAGATAATAATAAAAGATGAGCTCAGAGATTAGATAATAATAACAGATGAGCTCAGAGTTTAGATAATAATAACAAATGAGCTCAGAGATTAGGTAATAATAACAGATGAGCTCAGAGATTAGATAATAATAACGGATGAGCTCGGAGATTAGATAATAATAACAGATGAGCTCAGAGTTTAGATAATAATAACATATGAGCTCAGAGAATAGATAAAAATAACAGATGAGCTCAGAGATTAGATAATAATAACGGATGAGCTCAAAGATTAGGTAAAAATAACAGATGAGCTCAGAGATTAGATAATAATAACATATGAGCTCAGAGAATATATAAAAATAACAGATGAGCTCAGAGATTAGATAATAATAACATATGAGCTCAGAGTTTAGATAATAATAACAGATGAGCTCAGAAATTAGATAATAATAACAGATGAGCTCAGAGATTAGATAATAATAACATATGAGCTCAGAGAATAGATAAAAATAACAGATGAGCTCAGAGATTAGATAATAATAACATATGAGCTCAGAGAATAGATAAAAATAACAGATGAGCTCAGAGATTAGATAATAATAACATATGAGCTCAAAGATTAGGTAAAAATAACAGATGAGCTCAGAGATTAGATAAAAGTGTGTGTTAGCGCTAATAATAACAGCAATCCTAATTTAATTAATAGCAAAATTTCATTGATAGCAGCCTGAATAATTTTTCAATATATATTTAGTTGAATACATATATATATATATATATATATATATATTATATATATATATATATATATATATATATATATATATATATATATATATATAATATATATATATATATATATATATATATATATATATATATATATATATATTATATATGTATATATATACATATATTTATTTATTTATTCATTTATTTTTCAACAAGTCGGCCGTCTCCCACAGAGGCAGGGTGACCCAAAAACAAAGAAAATCCCCAGAAAGAAAATACTTTCATCATCATTCAACACTTTCACCTCACTCACACATAATCACTGTTTTTACAGAGGTTCTCAGAACACAACAGTTTAGAAGTATGTACGTATAAAAATGCACAATATGTATCCCTCCAGAGTGTCAATATCTCCAACCCCTCGTTTAGAGTGCTGGCATTGTACTTCCCATTTCCAAGACTCAAGTCCGGTTATATAAAATAACTCGTTTCCTTGATTCCCTTCACTAAATATTACCCTGCTTACACTCCAACAGCTCGTCAGGTCCCAAATACTATTTGTCTCCATTCACTCCTATCTAACACGGTTATGCACGCTTGCTGGAAGTCCAAACCCCTCGCCCACAACACCTCTTTTACCCCCTCCCTCCATCCTTTTCGAGGACGACCCCTACCCCGCCTTCCTTTCCCCACAGATTTATACGCTCTCCATGTCATTCTACTTTGATCTATTCTCTCTAAATAACCAAACCACCTCAACAAACCCTCTTCAGCCCTCTGACTAATACTTTTATTAACTCCACACCTTCTCCTAATTTCCACACTCCGAATTTTCTGCATAATATTTACACCACACATTGCCCTTGGACAGGACATCTCCACTGCCTCCAACCTCCTCCTTGCTGCAGCATTCACAACACAAGCTTCACACCCATATAAGAGTGTTGGTACTACTGTATTTTCATACATTCACTTCTTTGCCTCCATAGATAACATTTTTTGCCTCCACATATACCTCAAGGCACCACTCACCTTTTTTTCTTCATCAATTCTATGATTAAACTCATCCTTCATAATTCCATCTGCTGACACATCAACTCCCAAATATCTGAAAACATTCACTTCTTCCATACTCCTCCTCCCCAATTTGATATCCAATTATTCTTTATCTAAATCATTTGATACTCTCATCACCTTACTCTTTTCTATGTTCACTTTCAACTTTCTACCTTTACACACATTCTCAAATTCTTCCACTAACCTTTGCAATTTTTCTTTAGAATCTCCCATAAGCAGAGTATCATCAGCAAAAAGTAATTGTGACACTTCCCATTTTGTATTTAATTCCCCATAATTTAATCTCACCCCTCTCCCGAACACCATAGCATTTTCTTCTTTTACAACGCCATCTATAAATATATTAAACAACCATGGTGACATTACACATCCCTGTCTAATACCTACTTTTACCGGGAAGTAGTCTCCCTCTCTTCTACGCACCCTAACCTGAGCCTCACTATCCTCATAAAAACTCTTTACAACATTTAGTAACTTACCACCTATTCCATATACTTGCAACATCTGCCACATTGCTCCCATATCCACTCTATCATATGCCTTTTCTAAATCCATAAATGCAATAAAAACTTCCCTGCCATTATCTAAATACTGCTCACATATATGCTTCAATGCAAACACTTGATCTACACATCTCCTACCCACTCTAAAAACCTTATGCTCATCCGCAATTCTACATTCTGTCTTACCTCTAATTCTTTCATTAATAACCCTACCGTACACTTTTCCTCATATACACAGTAAACTTATTCCTCTATATTTTTTAAAATCACTTTTGTCCCCTTTCCCTTTATATAAAGGGACTATACACGCTCTTCACCAATCCCTAGGTACCTTCCCCTCTTTCATACATTTATTAAACAAAAACACCAACCATTCCAACACTATGTCCTCCCTCCCTGCTTTTAACATTTCTGTCATGATCCCGTCAGTTCCAGCTGCTTTACCCCCTTTCATTCTACGTAATGCCTCACGCACCTCCACCACACTCACATCCTGCTCTTCTTCACTCCTAAAAGATGGTATACCTCCCTCGCTAGGGAGGTATACATTTAAAAGTTCCTCAAAATATTCTCGCCATCTACACAAAACCTCCACCTCCCCATCTACTAACTCCCCTACTCTGTTTTTAACTGACAAATCCATTTGTCCCCTAGGTTTTCTTAAATTGTTTAACTCACTCCAAATTTTTTTCTTATTTTCATAAATTTTTTTTACAGTACCTCTCCCACTCTATCATCCACTCTCCTTTTGCACTCTCTCACCACTCTCTTCACCTTTCTTTTACTCTCCATATACTCTGCTCTTCTTATAACACTTCTGTTTTGTAAATACCTCTCATAAGCTTAACTTTTCCTCTTTTATCACACCCTTTACTTCATCATTCCACTAATCACTCCTCTTTCCTCCTGCTCCCACCCTCCTATAACCACAAACTTTTGCCCCACATTCTAATACTGCAGTTTTAAACCTATTCCAACCCTCTTCAACCCCCCCCCCCCACTACTCATACCTCCACCAGCCCACCTTTCTGCCAATAGTTGCTTATATTTCACCCGAACTTCCTCCTCCCTTAGTATATACACTTTCACCTCCCTCTTACTTGTTGTTGCCATTTTCCTCTCATCCCCTCTACCTCTTACTCTAACTGTAGCTACAACTAGATAATGATCCCATATATCAGTTGCCCCTCTATAAACATGTACATCCTGGAGCCTACCCATCAACCTTTTATCCACCAATACATAATCTAACAAACTACTTTCATTACGTGCTACATCATACCTTGTATATTTATTTATCCTCTTTTTCATAAAATATGTATTACTTATTACCAAACCTCTTTCTACACATAGCTCAATTAAAGGCTCCCCATTTTTATTTACCCCTTGCACCCCAAATTTACCTACTACTCCCTCCACAACATTTTTACCCACTTTAGCATTAAATCGTAAACGGTCCAAACGTATATATACGTTTTTTCAACATTTGAAAGTATGTAAAAAAAGTAGATCTTCTTTTTGTTTTTCTACATCTGAAAATGTGTAAAAAAAACTTTGATCTACTTTTTTTTTGTTATATTTGAAAATATGAACGTAGATCTGCTTGGACCGTTTACGGGTTAAAATTCCCAACCACAAGTACTCTCACACTTGGTTCAAAACTCCCCACGCATTCAATCAACATTTCTCAAAATCTCTCTCTCTCTCCTCTATACTTCTCTCTTTCCCTGGTGTATATACACTTACTATAACCCACTTCTCATCACATCCAATCTTTATTTTACTCCACATAATCCTTGAATTAATACATTTATAGTCCTTCTTTTCCTGCCATATCTTATCCTTCAACATTATTGCTACTCCTTCTTTAGCTCTAACTCTATTAGAAACCCCTAACCTAATCCCATTTATTCCTCTCCACTGAAACTCTCCCACCCCCTTCAGCTTTGTTTCACTTAAAGCCAGGACATCCTGCTTCTTCTCATTCATAACATCCACAATCATCTCTTTCTCATCATTTGCACAACATCCACGCACATTCAGACTTCCCATTTTGACAATTTTCTTCTTCTTATTCTTTTTAGTAATTATTACAGGAAATGGGGTTACTAGCCCATTGTTCCCGGCATTTTAGTTGACTTTTACAACACGCATGTCTTACGGAGGAAAGATTCTTATTCCACTTCCCCATGGATATAAAAGGAAAAGTAATTAGAACAAGAACTAAGATAAAATAAAATAAAACTCAGATGAGTGTGTATAAATAAACGTGTAGTGTGACGTAAGTGTAAGTAGAAGTAGCAAGACGTACCTGTAATCTTGTATATTTGTGAGACAGACAAAAGACACCAGCAATCCTACCGTCATGTAAAACAATTACAGGCTTTTGTTTGACACTCACTTGGCAGGACGGTAGTACCTCCCTGGGTGGTTGCTGTCTACCAACCTACTACCTATATATATATATATATATATTATATATATATATATATATATATATATATATATATATATATATATATATATATATATATATATATATATATATATATTATGTATTATATATCCATCTCCAGGATTCAATTCCGTCCTGCCCGCTTCTTTAAATCCCTTCATAAGTGTTACCTTGCTCACACTCCAACAGCATGTCAAGTCCTGCTAACCATTTGTCTCCATTTGCCCCTATCTACCACGCTCACGCATGCTTGCTGGAAGACCAAGCCCCTTGCACACAAAACCTCCTTTCCCCTTTCCCTCCAGTCTTTCCTAGCCCGACCCTTTCCATTACAGATTTATACACTCTCGAAGTCATTCTATTTCGTTCCATTATCTCTACATATCAGAACTTTCTCAACGACCTCTCCTCAACCCTCTGGATAATAGTTTTGGTAATTACGCACCTCCTCCTAATTTCCATACTACGAATTCTCTGCAATATATTCACACCACACGTTGCTCTCAGAAACGACATCACCGTCTCCAGTCTTCTCCTTGTTGCAGTATTCACCACCCATGCTTCACACAAGTGCGTTGGTATAACTATGCTCTCTTACATTTCCCGCTTTGCTTCCATGACTCCTAAGTGCACCACTCATTTCTTCCCCTCATCAATTCTATGATTCACCTCATCTTTCATAGACCCATTTGCTGACACGTCCACTCCTAAATATCACCTCTTCTATACTCTCTTACTCAAACCTAATATCCAATCTTTCATTACCTATTTTTTTTTTATCCTCTTCACCAAAAAAAAAAATTAGGTAGCGAAAGAATTGATATCAGATTTGAGGGTGAGAGTATTTAGATGAATGTATTCAGATATTTAGGAATGGACGTGCTAGCAGATGGGTCTGTGAAAGATGAGATGAATCATAGAAGTGATGAGAGAAAGGTGAGTGATGCCCAGGGGGGAGGGTAACTACCGTCCTGCCAATTGAGTGTAACTGTTTTACATGATGGTAGGATTGCTGATGTCCTTTTTTCTGTCTCATAAACAGGCTAGATATGAGGTATATTTTGCTACCTCGTGTCACAGTGGGGCTATGCTAATATTGCTACTGTGTGTGGAAATGCACAAACTAGAACTATTCAGTGAGAGATGAACTGAGAAAAAGACGAAGAGAAAGGGAAGAATTCTTAATTGACACCAGCAATAATAGGTAAACGGTTCCTCGTACCTGATCCAAAAGACCAGCAATCCAGAGTGGTTCTGTACATAGTTGTCGACTCTGTGTTGTCTGGCGCTTGTGAATATGCTCGGTGTATCTCCTCTCACGGACCGTCTGCCAATGATTCTCAAACACCCGCAGTGTCTCAGCTGTAATATTCTGGATAACTTTGTCTGTCTGATGAACCACCACAGCTATAAAACTGGACAAATAATACGGTGTGGTAAGATGAATATTAAGTTTTTCAGCATTGTATAATGTAAATTATGACTCAAATTTAAAAAGGGGAGTGAAGTGCAGGGTTAATACTTTTAGAAATTGTAGACGGTGTGGTGAATATAGATTCATATACAATTTTGACATGTATTAAAGGAAATATTTCGCGTTTTTAGGAATAAAGAATCCAGTTGTGGCGAATCTTTTCATTTAATAAAAATCATAACTGTAAATCTTTGAAGTTGTCATACAATTGGTGCTGAAAACAAATGAAGTATTTACATTGTCAGTAGACACGATCTGTACTTTCGTGTCCAGCATCAGGATATGGGAAGCTATACAAAGGTATATTGGTTATTGGTACTTATTTGAAAGTTCTCTGCCAAGGCTTGTAGATGCTATTACCCTAAATAGACATATATTCTCTCTCTCTCTTATAGTCATACAGAGAGCTAGCATCGAGAATTGCAAACACTAGCTCCCTATATAGGCATAATAAAACTAGAAGTAGCAAATATAGATGTCTAGGGGCCCTTGAGCGAAACAACATTAAGGACCTTGATGAACATTAAAATGGTATAAAATACCGACAGGTTGTTAGGTAAGACACATATGCAACAGTTAGGTATCTTTATTTCGAAACGTTTCGCCTACACAGTAGGCTTCTTCAGTCGAGTACAGAAAAGTTGATAGAAGCAGAAGATACTTGAAGACGATGTAATCAGTCCATCACCCTTAAAGTTTTGAGGTGGTCAGTCCCTCAGTCCCTTGTTTCAGACTACGGAATAATGCTCTTCTCCAGACTGAGGGACTGACCACCTCAAAACTTTAAGGGTGATGGACTGATTACATCGTCTTCAAGTATCTTCTGCTTCTATCAACTTTTCTGTACTCGACTGAAGAAGCCTACTGTGTAGGCGAAACGTTTCGAAATAAAGATACCTAACTGTTGCATTTGTGTCTTACCTAACATTAAGGACCTTGTTGCTTTCAGGTATTGCACTAGTGGAAATTAAAATTTAATATTGGAGCCAGACGTACGATTGATCGTATAACTACCTTCGGCCAGCTGCGAGGAATTCAAATAAGCTGCTTTTACAAAAATAAATATTCAACAAAATATTAGAACTTAAACAACTGTATACTAATTTCACAATCAAAATAGTTTGAATAATATACAAATAAATATTTGTGGTCTTACTTGGGCGGATCTTGCACTATCATCAACCATCAAACGCTACAGATACTGACGTAACACAAGAAGGGCTATAAAACAAATAGTTATTGACATAGGAGACTTATGTCTTCAGAAAGCTGAGCCCTAAGCACCCTCTTAGTCGATTGGTAAATCGACGACCGTAAACTAGGTCTCTGTGAAGGTAAAAACAAGTAGGTCTCCTCAGTCATACAAAGGATAGCTTGATGTTCATAGGTGCATTCAGAAGTTAGCTCTCTATAGTCACATAGAGGTCAGCAATCTATTGGAGGCTCTTTATTCAGGCTAGTTCTGCGGGAAGTTAGCTCTCTATGGAGAATTCCTCTCAATGGAATCAAGCTCTGTATAGAAAACTAGCTCCTTGGAGGCATAAAGAACCTAGTTTCCAGTTGAGGAAGAAATGGGTTATGGAAGTGTACAGAGGCTACCTATCTACGTAGGTAATCAAAGGCCAGCTGTCTATGAAGGTATTCAGAATCGTTCAGTGGTCATATGACAACATTAATGAAGCAAACTGTAGATAATTACACGTATATATATATATATATATATATATATATATATATATATATATATATATATATATATATATATATATATATATATATATATATATATATATATATATGCAATAAAATCACAGTAAACAGGTGATTTCAGAATCTGCAAAACAACCACTCTGAAAGAATAGAGAAATTCCAAGCGCTTTCGTGACTACTCACGTTATCAAGGAACTATGAAAGTAAAGCATCCAAGGAAGCTATTTAAGGGGTCTGGCCAACACCTCACTATCAGATCCCACAACGGTTAAACACCTGACGCGCGCCGGCCCAACTGGACAGGTCCTTTGCACAACTCACCAACAAACTATTCTACCCAAGAAAATTTAAAAATTATTATTTGTCCAGTGTATTATTAAATTCTTCCCAAATTCTATTAATAATAAATGGATCTAATTTATATAAACCAAAGGAAATATTCATATTATTGTCAAAACTGCTTTTTATGAAACAAGATTCAATTATATATATATATATATATATATATATATATATATATATATATATATATATATATATATATATATATATATATATATATATATATATATATATATATCGTGCCGAATATGTAAAACTGGTCAATTAGCAAGAACTCATTTAAAATTAAGTTCTTTCTAAAATTTTCTCTTATAAATTTAAAGATATATTTTTCTCATTAATGTTAATGTAAAAAAATTTAAATTCTAACAAGAACAATTTATTTTAGCCTAACCAAATTAAATATATTGTAGATTTGTTTACAATAATTTAATACTAAACAAACACAGTGAAATATATTTTTTTCATTAGGTTCAGAATGATTTTGGAGAAATTAATGCATACACAAATTTTCACTTGTCCTATATGGCAAGATGAGCGTTGCTATTTAAGCCAAGATCGCAAGTTCTGCCTATTCGGCACGACATATATTATATATATATATATATATATATATATATATATATATATATATATATATATATATATATATATATATATATATATATATATATATTATATATATATGTATATTACACATATATATATGCATATATATATACATACATCTAGATTTTTCTCTTTTTTCTAAATAGCTCTTGTTCTTCTTTATTTCTTCTATTGTCCATGGGGAAGTGGAAAAGAATCTTTCCTGCGTAAGCCATGCGTGTCGTATGAGGCGACTAAAATGCCGGGAGCAATGGGCTAGTAACCCCTTCTCCTGTAGACATTTACTAAAAAAGAGAAGAAGAAAAACTTCATAAAATTGGGATGCTTGAATGTGCGTGGATGTAGTGCGGATGACAAGAAACAGATGATTGCTGATGTTATGAATGAAAAGAAGTTGGATGTCCTGGCCCTAAGCGAAACAAAGCTGAAAGGGGTAGGGGAGTTTCGGTGGGGGGAAATAAATGGGATTAAATCTGGAGTATCTGAGAGAGTTAGAACTAAGGAAGGGGTAGCAGTAATGTTGAATGATCAGTTATGGAAGAAGAATAGAGAATATGAATGTGTAAATTCAAGAATTATGTGGATTAAAATAAAAGTTGGATGCGAAAAGTGGGTCATAATAAGCGTGTATTCACCTGGAGAAGAGATGGATGTAGAGGAGAGAGAGAGATTATGGGAGATGTTAAGTGAATGTATAGGAACCGTTGAACCAAGTGAGAGAGTAATTGTGGTAGGGGACCTGAATGCTAAATTAGGAGAAACTTTTAGAGAGGGTGTGGTAGGTAAGTTTGGGGTGCCAGGTGTAAATGATAATGGGAGCCCTTTGATTGAACTTTGTATAGGAAGGGGTTTAGTTATAGGTAATACATATTTTAAGAAAAAGAGGATAAATAAGTATACAAGATATGATGTAGGGTGAAATGACAGTAGTTTGTTGGATTATGTATTTGTAGATAAAAGACTGTTGAGTAGACTTCAGGATGTAGATGTTTAAAGAGGGGCCACAGATATATCAGATCACTTTTTAATTGTAGCTTCACTGAGAGTAAAAGGTAGATGGAATACAAGGAGAATAGAAGCATCAGGGAAGAGAGAGGTGAAGGTTTATAAACTAAAAGAGGAGGCAGTTAGGGTAAGATATAAACAGCTATTGGAGGATAGATGGGCTAATGAGAGCATAGGCAATGGGGTCGAAGAGGTATGGGCTAGGTTTAAAAATGTAGTGTTAGAGTGTTCAGCAGAAGTTTATGGTTACAGGAAAGTGGGTGTGAGAGGGAAGAGGAATGATGATGTAAAGCGAGTAGTTAGGGAGAAAAAGTTAGCATATGAGAAGTTTTTACAAAGTAGAAGTGATGCAAGGAGGGAAGAGTATATGGAGAAAAAGAGAGAGGGTGAAGCAATGTAAAAAGAGAGCAAAGGAGAGAATGGGTGAGATGTTATCAGCAAATTTTGTTGAAAATAAGAAAAAGTTTTGGAGTGAGATTAACAAGTTAAGGAAGCTTAGAGAGCAAATAGATTTGTCAGTTAGAAATAGGAGAGGAGAGTTATTAAATGGAGAGTTAGAGGTATTGGGAAGATGGAAGGAATATTTTGAGGAATTGTTAAATGTTAATGAAGATAGGGAAGCTGTGATTTCGTGTATAGGGCAATGAGGAATAACATCTTGTAGGAGTGAGGAAGAGCCTGTTGTGAGTGGGGAGGAAGTTCGTGAGGCAGTACGTAAAATGAAAGGGGGTAATGCAGCCGGGATTGATGGGATAAAGATAGAAATGTTAAAAGCAGGTGGGGATATAGTTTTGGAGTGGTTGGTGCAATTATTTAATAAATGTATGGAAGAGGGTAAGGTACCTAGGGATTGGCAGAGAGCATGCATAGTTCCTTTGTATAAAGGCAAAGGGGACAAAAGAGAGTGCAAAAATTATAGGGGATAAGTCTGTTGAGTATACCTGGTAAAGTGTATGGTAGAGTTATTAGTGAAAGAATTAAGAGTAAGACGGAGAATAGGATAGCAGATGAACAAGGAGGCTTTAGGAAAGGTAGGGGGTGTGTGGACCAGGTGTTTACAGTGAAACATGTAAGTGAACAGTAAGGCTAAAGAGGTTTTTGTGGCATTTTTGGATTTGGAAAAGGCGTATGACGAGGTGGATAGGGGGGCAATGTGGCAGATGTTGCAGGTGTATGGTGTAGGAGGTAGGTTACTGAAGCAGTGAAGAGTTTTTACGAGGAAAGTGAGGCTCAAGTTAGAGTATGTAGGAAGGAGGGAGATTGTTTCCCAGTAAA